TTGAATGAATAAATAAATGAGTGAGGAAACAGAAGCCCAGAGAGGAGGATTGGTTTGCTGAAGACCTCACATGCAGTGATACCAAGGCCCAGAGTGTGGTTTTCCCAGCCCCTCATGGCTGATGATCCTAGTTTAAAAAAATCTGCCCATTACTCTTTTTCAGGCAAAGAGTGGTGGTGTCTTCTTCAGAGTTTTGTTTAGGTGAATGGGGTGAGGCCAAAGGGCAGGCTCTGTGCTCTGGGCTAGGTGAGTGCTTTGCCCTTTTCATCCTGGTCATGCCACTTCCTGAAGACTTCACCCCTGTTTCCCACCAAAATTCCACCTTCCCCTGCCCTCACCCTCAGGCTCAGAATGCTGTTGTCACCCTGTACGGTGGCGTTAACTACTTTCTGTACTATTACATGCTGAAAGGGTTGCCCAAAGATAATCATGACTGCCTTACTGCTTCCTTAAAAGACTGAACCTAAACCATCCCAGAGACATTAACAGCTTTCATATCCTCTAAAAACTTCCAGACAAGAAGATTCCATAATTTCCTTGTTGGCATCTGTGCTTGGCAGTACTGCTGCAGGAATGTTCTTTATTGCAGCCTGTGGTTAAGACTTAACAACAAATGCCTTTTCTTTAGAATCCTTCTGGGTCAGCTTTCTTTCCTGTATAGCACTGAAAAGTGAGATTTGCCCTAAAATGTTGAGAGAGAGAGAGAGAAAGCAAAAGATAGAGAGCACAAGCCAGCACAAGCCTGAAATCTATTTATACCGAGGAAAACATAAGGTCTACCTGCAGGGGCCATACTCACCCCCCAGCCTGCAGCCATTCCCTGCATGAACCCGTCCCCTTCTCTAGAGGGTACAAGGACACAGGAAGCAAGCCAGAGAAAGGTGGTGAGACCTTGGCAGTTGCCTTTTAACAGCCGCTGTTCCCCTAGCATTCTGTGAGGCAGCCAAGCAGCCACGTAAGAAGAGGGTTGATGTGCAAACCCACTGTGGGCTGAGCATCTTCTAAGGAAGCACATCCCCTCCCTGTCCTCTGAACTCGACACGCCGTAAGACTGAACTTCATAGTCATGATGCTACTTCCCTCATGGCTGGCATCCAACCCAAAATGGCCTCCATGACTACAGCTAAGGAGGTGTCATACTCATGAGCAGTGGAAGAATGGCCCTGCAATGCTTAGCACATCAACTACTTTCTCTTCATCTCTTAGCACAACATCTACTGACTCACTATAAAATTGAATGATCTGCTTTATTATGTAATGAAAGTACTAAGTACAGTGGCTTATCTCCTACTATTTGCTGACACAATTACCTGGGTATGTTTTTCAGTGGGGAACTAACACTCAAGTCCTAGAAATTCTAGGGATTGTCATTTTTTTTTTTTTAAAGCAAGCGAATTCAATTATTCCTTGATTTCTAGAAGGAGGCCTCCCTCTATTTTTGTCTCTCTTTCAGTTTAGAGGCTATGCTGGCCTCTGTGAGTGGCTCTAACGTGCTGGTAATGGCACGGCTCATCAGGAATTGGGATTTGGGGGTGGAACTGCACAACTGGACAGTTGCTGGAGGGCAGATCTGCCTAAAGTGGATGAGGAGTCGGGTGGGAGGGTGGTAGTTTGTGTTGGGAAGTTTCAGGTTCCTAGGAGGAACTCTCAGACCTGGCGGTGTGTGTCCCCTTGAGGAGCGCAGCGGTTGGCTGCCAAGGAAGTGCAGATGGGTCAAGTGTGAGGAAGAGGAGGGCAGGGCCAGAAGTTGATTCAAATTCGGCGATAGGATTATGATGAGGTTTAAACATTTCGAAGGAGCTAATTTAGTGCTTTCTCTTATATCCTATGAACCAAATGCCAATTAGTTCCAGACAGCTACTTGCTAAGGTAGTGTTTAGAATGTTTGCTTATTTACCACTTAATTCAAATTCTGTGAAACCATTCACTGAGCTAAGTGTGACAATTTCCACTGAGCCTGCAGGGACATTTCAGTGTGCACACAGTAAGACGAAGAAAACAATGCCCAGCACGTGGGTCCACAGCAGGTGCCCTGAGCAGAGGGAGAGGGCTCTTCAAAGGAGGCCTTAGAAACAATGACACAGCCTCAAAAGAAAATGCCACTGGGGTTGGCTTGCACGTTCCATCAATAAGATACTTACAGCTGGATTACTGAAAATATGAATTTGCGTTTCATAAAAAAAAAAGGGATCTAGTTCTACCTGAAGATTTCAGATACGTGAGCAACTAGAATGTTTCAATGGTTTCGAGGATGTAGGTGATGCAGGGAGGATAATCATTCTACAGGGGGAGGAAGAAAGAAAATCAACACACAGCAAATTCTCATTTAAATGAGAACGCACAGCAAATTCTCACTTAAAAGGCCAAATAGATTTTTGTGTGATGTCTATACGGTGTGCCTCTTATTTAAAATGCCATTTCCAATGCCATGGAAATAAGCAATTATCAGGGATTTGATCTAAAAAGAAACTTTAAGGTTATGTCATATACATGGGTATCCCAGTTTCCTTTACATTTTACTGCCTTGGTATTGTATTTTTGATAAATAATTCAAGGCTGGAGGACCCCTTGAGCTCAAGAGTTCCAGTCCAACCTGGGCAACAGAGCAAGACTCTGCCTTTAAATAGAGACCTACATTTGTCAAATGCCTACTAGAGGATAAGGGCTGTGCTGAGAATTTTTGTATTTATCATCTCACCTAGCCTTCATGGCAGGGCAGTTAGTTAAGTATGTCCCCAACCGCGCAGTTAAGGAAAGGCCAGCTCAGGATCCCCTGGCTGTGCTGCAGCTGCCATTCCTTGGCTTTCCCATCACTTGGTACCCAGTGCTCCACTCCTTACCCCAGCCCCAGTATGTCATTTAGCTGATCTGTCCTTTTGCTTCTAGTGTCAGGATCTCTCTAGCTACCTACTTATTAGCGGGATGCGGAGTGGTAATGGAGCACTCTATGTTGAGTATGTAACAAGGATACAAACGTGAAAATGCTAGCGTTTATACAGTCCTTATTTATTTATTTGTTATTTTTTGAGACACGTTCTCACTCTGTCACCCAGGCTGGAGTGCACTGGTGTGATTAGGGCTCACTTTCAGCCTCAATCTCCTGGTCTCAAGCGATCCTCCCCTTTCAGCCTCCCGAGTAGCTGAGACCACAGGTGTGTGCCACCACATCTAGTTAATTTTTAAATCTTTTGTAGAGATGGGGTCTCCCTGTGTTGCCCAAGACAGTCTTGAACTCCTGAACTCGAGTGGTCTTCCCACTTTGGCCTCCTGAAGTACCAGGATGACAGGCACGAGCTGCTGCACCTGGCCCCAGTCCTCATTTTCATCAGCTGGCTGCTTTCCTGCTCAGCAGGGGTAACAGCAGATGTTGCTTAACAAGGGACTGGGATCTGAAGAAACCTCCACTACTCATGTCTTGTCTGTCAAATGGACAAACACAAATAGTGTTTTAAATTTTTAATTATTCTTTTGTTTTTTTGTTTTGTTTTGAGACACAGTCTTGCCCTGTCACCCAGGCTGGCGTGCAATGGCATGATCCTGGCTTACTGCAACCTCTGCCTCCCAGGTTCAAGTGATTCTCCTGCTTCAGCCTCCCGAGTAGCTGGGATTACAGGCGCATGCCACTACGCCTGGCTAATTTTTTGTATTTTTGGTAGAGACGGGGTTTCACCATGTTGACTAGGCCGATCTCAAACTCCTGATCTCATGATCTGCCTGCCTTGGCCTCCCAAAATATTATTTTTTTAAAGATGGGGTCTTGCTATGTTGCCCAGGCTTGTCTCGAACTCCTGGGCTCAAGGGATCCTCCTGCCTTAGCCTCCTGAGTAGCTGGGGCTACAGGTGCACTCTACTACACCCAGCTTCTTGTTTTTTTATGTTGAATTTAGATGTCTTTTGGTGGAGCAGGTGAGTGCCCCGTCACTTCCTCCTGTCCTATATACAATCTACTTCACTCCTTTGTATTATTTGCCAGGCCCCTGAAGGCATCTGGTTTGTGACCTCTGGGATTTAATGCCGGTTGTAACCATCAGCATCATATCTGGGTGATGGGGTCTTTGGTTTCTCCTAAGATTGCTGTGAAGAGTTGCTTAGTCGAACACTACACAACTCTAGGGAATCTATTTGCAAAAACTATGGATGTGAGTTGTACTCCTGGGAGTTACAAAGTACACAGCTTGTGCAACTGTCGGTGGTGGCCCAAGAGCTGTACACTGTGCTGGTGGTTCACAGGGAATGACTCTGCCCAAACACAAAATATTACCTTTAGTCCCATAGGAATGACAGAAGTCAGGATGATGAACTAAGAGGAAGTGTATATATGGCTCAAAGGGTGACCATTTAATGGTTTGTCACTGTAAAGTTCATCTTTTGGGTTCCTACAACTTAAACCATCCAATTAAAAGTCATCTCTGGACAGACGAGGTCCAGCTACTAGTGTCCCCAAAGTGCCAAAATAACCGTACTCACTGATGTAATTAAGAAACCTGAGTGGGCTGTTTTCAACAATGGTGAGAAAAGCAAATTTACACTTCTTAGAATCTTACTGAATTAACGGTGAAAATTACTAGTTGCTTTTATTTTTCCCCCAAGCAAAGAAGGTGCTGTGAATGCTTTCAATCTTTTACTCTCAAGGGAAATCTAGTGATCCTTACACCATCTGAAAGACAGAAATCATAGCAATGATTCAGATCCCACATCTAGGACTGTGCCAAACTTAGGCTGAACCACTCAAAACCTGAAGGGTAAGTGAACTAGAAACTACAAGTGACTGAGCCGCAGGTGAGGTTCAGTTCGCTTCAAGAAAGATATTCATATTCTGTGCCTCTGAGACTTTAAGTGTATCAACTAGAAACCGACAATGCCACAAACATAACGTGTGACTTGGACATCAGCTCCTGAGTGGGGACATGGCACCTAGTACATCTTCTAGCTCCTACTCAGCCAGTTTTCTGTAAGTCAATAAACATTCATTAACAATCACACAAACCAAATTACTGTACCTCCTCAGGTAAGCTGACCACCAAGTCATTTTTTGTCTGTCCGACCAGCGCCTGCCAAAAGTATTCACTGCATGCAGCCAGCACAGCCCGGTGGGCCCGGAACTCCTTCCTTTCCACGATCAAAGTCACGTCACAGAGAATATCCTTTTTCCGCTGGTCATTGAGGCCCAGGAGGATGTTGGTGCAGTGGACTGTGGACTCATACACATACATGGGGGAGTCAGGCTTCTCATCCACAGACATGCCGTTCACACCCTGAAAGAAAGAAAGAAAGAAAGGCTGAGTCACCACAGTTGTAGGATTGGAGAGAGGAGGTGAGAAAGAACATCATGGTTCCTGTGTCCCACTGCCATGAGCATGGCAGGAAAGAGGAGAATTGCCAATCAGCATATTTCTGCTTACTCTGTACAATGAGCTCAAGAAACATATCTGGAAAGTCAAGTTCCACAGCTGACTTTTATCCTTCCTACTTACTGCATTCTTTTACCCCATGGTAACAAAGCCAGATCTTTTAATAGAACATTTAAAACACACTGGTATTTTAAAACTTGGTGGTTCTGATTTTGTTAGAAGGCTGAAAAGGAACTTTCACATGTAAATAGTCTCCATGCAAGGACTAATTTAGATTTGTGTTTAGAGGAAATGAATCATTTTGAAGTATTTCTAATGTTGTCTTGATGAAGTACATGTAAGTTCCTAAGGTGAAATTTGGCTGAGATGCCAAGTAGCGTAAACATCAAATCACAGTACATATTTAACAAGTGCACCAAACTGTCTGCACGCTGAAGACTCAGTAGTCAGCTACTGCATCTGCCCTCTGCCACTTCAAGGCAAAGCACAATCGCCATAATGCTATAGTTGCTCAGCTCTTACAAAGATGTGGAATTGTGCTGTCGTTATCCCAGCCGAATTGATGTACATCCACTTTAAGGAAACACAATATATCACAACAGCAGTCATGAAAAAGATGCATTCAACAGTCAAGACTACTTTTACCAAAGGTTCTTTGCTTTTAAAAATATCCATTGAAGTATTTCTTTCTTTCTTTCTTTTTTTTTTTTTGAGAGGGAGTTTCGTTCTGTAGCCCAGGCTGAAGTGCAATGGCGTGCTTCTCAGCTCACTGCAACCTCCACCTCCTGGGTTCAAGTGATTCTCCTGCCTCAGCCTACTGAGTAGCTGGGATTACAGGCATGTGCCACCATGCTTGGCTAAGTTTTGTATTTTTAGTAGAGATGGGGTTTCACCATCTTGGCCAGGCTGGTCTTGAACTCCTGACCTCAGGTGATCCACCCGCCTTGGCCTCCCAAAGTGCCGGGATTACAGGCATGAGCCGCTGCGCCTGGCCCCACTGAAGTATTTTAAAATACAGTATCTGTGATTAATTTATCGAATTACATAGTTTTTCTGTAATGTTTACTAGAGTAGTAAGAATTCCAGTAGAGTGCTATTTTCTTTTTTGGGCTTTCTTATTTTTTTAAAAACAGCTTTAACATACTATAAACTGCACATATTTATAGTGAGCAATTTGAGGTTTTGATTATGTATATAACTGTGAAACCATCATCACAATAAAGATAGTGAACAAATCCATCATCACCAAAAGTCTCCTTAAGGCCCTTGTAATAATTTCTCCCTTGTGCCCCTCTATACCTCACCCCTGCAACGACTGATCAGCTTTCTGACATTCTATATTAGCTTGCATTTTCTAGAGTTTCATATAAATGGAATCATACACTACATATTCTTTTATGTCTGGCTTCTTTTGTTCGGCATAATTTCACCATTCAACCATGTTGCTGCATATATCAAGTTTGTTCCTTTATTACCTAGTATCCTATTGTATAAATATAGCATAATTTTTTTTTTTTTATCCATTCATCTATTAGTAGATATTCGGGTTGTTTCCAGTATTTATTTACACATAAAGCTGTTGTGAACATAAAATTCTTTGTACGGACATATGCTTCTACTTCTCTTGGGTAAATACCTGTGAGTAGAATGTATTATACGGTATGTGTAAGCATTACTTTTAAAGAGTCTGGCACTGTTTTCTAAAGTGGTTGTTAACATTTTACATTTCCACCAGCAGTGTATGAGGTTCCAGTTCTTTCACAGCCTTGCCAACATTTAGTATGGTCAGTCTTTCTAATTTTGGACATTGTAATAGGTATATTATATCTCTTTTTGGGTTTAATTTGCTTTCTCTAACACCTGAAGTCGTTGAGAATCTTTCATGTGTTTATTTGACCTCTGTATATCTTCTTTGGAGAAATGTCTATTTAGATTCTTTGCCCATTTTTAATTGGGTTGTTTTCTTATTTTTCAGTTTTAAGAATTCTTTATATATTCTGAATATATAAAGTCCTTTATCAGGTACATGATTTGCAAAATTTTTTTCCAAGGTTGTAGCTTGTCTTTTCATGTCTTAAAAGTGTCTTTCAAGGAACAGAAAGTCTTTATTTGATGAAGCCAAAAAACCATTTTGGTGTCACATCTGAAAAACCAAGGTCATAAAGATATTCTCCTATGTTTTCTGCTAGAAGTGTTATTTTTTTAGCCCTTACATTTAGGTCTATGGACCATTTTGAGTTAATTTTTATATATGTAACAGGTATGGATTGAGGTTTTTTCCTTTTGCATATGAATATCCAATGGTTCCAGTAGCATTGTTAAAAAGACTCTTTTCTCTCCTGAATTACCTTTGTACTTTTACTGAAAATCAATTGTTTATATATGTATGAATCTATTTATGGACTCTGTCTTTTACTATTTATAAGTTTGTCTACTTTTGTTTTGTTTTGTTGTTTTTTTGGAGACAGGTTATCACTTTGGAGTGCAGTGGCGTGGCCATAGCTCACAGCAGTAGCTGGCACTACAGGTGTGCACCACCGTATCTGGCTAATTTAAAAATAGTTTTTGTAGGCTGGATGCGGTGGCTCATGCCTGTAATCCCTGCACTTTGGGAGGCTGAGGTGGGCAGATCACGAGGTCAGGAGTTCAAGACCAGCCTGGCCAACATGGTGAAACTGCATCTCTACTAAAATACAAAAATTAGCTGGGCATGGTGGTTGCACCTGTAATCCCAGCTACTTGGGAGGCAGAGACAGGAGAATCACTTGAACCTAGGAGGCAGAGGTTGCAGTGAGCCGATATCACCACTGCACTCTAGCCTGGGTGACAGAGCAAGACTCCATCTCAAAAACAAAACAAAAACACACATATATATATATATATGTGTGATGAGGTCTTGCCATATTGCCCAGGCTAGTCTCAAACTCCTGGCCTCAAGCGATCCTCCTACCTCGGCCTCCTAAAAGTGCTGGGATTACAGATGTGAGCCACTGTACCCAACCTCTATATCTACTTTTATATTACTATCATAGTGTCTTGATTTGCTCTTTTTCAAAGTTAGTTTGATCCTTTGCATTTCCATATACATTTTATAATTAGCTTGCCAATTTCTACAAAATAGTCTGCTGGAATTTTCACTGAGATTGTACTGAATCTACTGATGAATTTAGGAAAAACTGCCATCTTAACAATAATGAACCTTTTGACCCATGAACACGGTCTCTTTATTTAGATCATCTTAAATTTTTCTCAGCAGCCAGGTGCGGTGGCTTATGCCTGTAATCTCAGGACTTTAGGAGGCCGAGGCAGGTGGATCACTTGAGGTCAGGAGTCCGAGACCAGCCTGGCCAACATGCTGAAACCCCATCTCTACTAAAAATATAAAAATTAGCCAGGCATGGTGGCATGTGCCTGTAATCCCAGCTACTCAGGAGGCTGAGGCAGGAGAACTGTGTGAACCCAGCAGGAAGAGGTTGCAGTGAGCTGAGCTGAGATTGCACCACTGTATTCTAGCCTGGGCAACAGAGCAAGACTCCATCTCAAAAAAAAAAAAAAAAAAAAAGGACTTTTTTTTTCTTAGCAATATTTTAATTTTAAATCTTTTTGCAGACAGTCTCACTCCGTCACCCAGGCTGGAGTGCAGTGGTGCGATCTTGGCTCACTGCAACCTCCACCTCCTGGGTTCGAGTGATTCTCCTGCCTCAGCCTCCTGAGTAGCTGGAAATAAAGAGGCATGCGCCACCATGCCTGGCCACTTTTTGTAGTTTTAGTAGAGATGGGTTTCGCCAGGTTGGCCAGACTGGTCTTGAACTCCTGGTCTCTCTTCGGCCTCCCAAAGTGCTGGGATTACAGGCGTGAGCCAGCACACGGGACTCTCAGCAATGTTTTATAGTAGTATATAGGTCTTTTATACCTCTTTTGTCAGGCTTATACCTAAGTATGAACATTTTTGATGTCATTGTAAATGGCATTGTCTTTTAATTTCAATTTATAATTTTTCATTGCTACTATATACAAATAATTTTTGTATATCGATCTTGTATCTGGAAACCTTATTTATTAGTTCTCATAGACTGTTTTTTTTGGGTAGATTCCACAGTATTTTCTACATAGAAGATTATGTTGTGAATAAAGATCTCTTACTTTTTTCCCAATTTGGATAATTTTAATGTCTTTTTCTTACCTTACTGCATTGTTTAGAACCTCTAGTTCAATGCTGAACAGAGGTGGTGAGACCAAACACCCTTGCCTTCCTGATGTTAGGAAGAAAGTATTCAACCATTCACCATTTTGTATGACGTTAGCTATAGATGCTTCATAGATGCTCCTATTGAGCTGAGGAAGTTACTTTTCTTTCTGTCCCTCTCTCCTCCCCTCCCCTTTCTGTTCCCTTTCTTATCTTTTTCTTCAGTGGCACTCATGGCTCACGGCAATCTTGAATTCGTGGGCTCAAGCAATTCTCCTGCCTCTGCCTCCTGAGTAGCTATGACTACAGGTGTGCACCACCATACCCGGCTAATTATTTCTTGTTTTTTTGTAGAGATGAAACCTTGCTATGTCGCCCAGGCTGCTCTTGGACTCCTGGTCTCAAGCAATCCTCTACCTTGGTCTCTCAAAGTGTTGGGATTACAGGTGTGAGCCACTGCACCCAGCCCTGTGTTTGCCTTCTTATACATTGTTGGATTCAATTTGCTAACATTTTGTTAATAATTTTTCATCTATGTTCAGTGGGGAGATTTGTCTGTAGTTTTCTTACATAGTTCTTCTGGCCTGCTTTTAGCATCACGGTAACAACAATCTCATAAAATGAGCTGGGAAGTATTTCTTCCTCCTTAATTTTCTAAAAGGTTTTTCTTTTCTTTTTTTTTTTTTTTTTTTTTGTAGAATTGGTTTTATTTCCTCCT